CTTTGATTTTGGTTAAGGTAAATTATCATTTAGAGTGTAATAAGTGAGGGGATTCTGCAGAATGTTGAGGGTTCAGCCTCTTGATGAGTCGGTGAAACTCCGACGAAACAGTTTGTCACAGCCCCTCATTTGTTGTCCTCTTCTCTCTCTCTGCCTACAGTTTACGGGGCAGTTCTGTTTGTGACGATATATATATATATATATATATATATATATACTCGTCAGTGCTGCTCCTAGAAGACCGAATCAATTTGCGGTTTTGTTCATCCATCCCAACGAGGCTGGAAGTGATCCACAACTGCGAGTCAGTTCGCAGTTTGCGACCTACACTGCTGGAGGAGTCACAACTGCGAGTTAATTCGCAGTTTTTTCAAGATTAGACACCTTTTTCGTTAAAGTCAGTTCTTTATTTGCACAACTGCGAGTCAGTTCGCACTTTATGACCAACATTGCTGGAGGAGTTGTTGCCCTCCGTCTCCGGAATTCGAAGTTAGTTCGCACTTGTAGACACCCATGTCGTGCGTCTTTCAGGATAAGTTCGCACTTTATTTGCACAACTCCGAGTTGGTTCGCACTTTTCCCAAGATAAGCCGCCTTTTCTTAAACGTGACTTTCACATTTCCAGAACTGCGGGTTGCAATTGTTGTCTTGTCTTCAGAACTGCGAGTTAGTGCGCACTTGTCGATACCCTTCACACTTGTCAATACCCGCGCAGTACTTGTTGCAGCGGTCTTCATTCCCAGAACTCCGAGTTAGTTCGGACTTTCCCGAAAAAAAAACGTATGGTACTCGTTTCGAGGGCAGCGAGTCGGATCGCACTCTTTCCGAAGAGTTGTTGTCTTCCCTCCGAACTCAGTCTGCCAGAGGAGTGTTGTCTTTCCTCAACTTCACCCAATTGTTTTGACTTCGTTTGCATTTCAAACACCAATCTCGTGCATCGGTTTCCTTGTCACCAGAACTGCGAGTCAGTTCCCGCTTGTCGATACCCATGAGGTACTTGTTGTAGACCACTTCATTCCCAGAACTCCGAGTTAGTTCGCACTTTCCTGAAGATAAACCACCTCTTCCTCGTTTCGAGGACAACGAGTTCGTTCGCGCTCTTTCCGAGGAGTTGTTGTCTTCCCTCCGAACTCACGCTACAAGAGGAGTGTTGTCTTTCCTCTCCTTTACCCAATTGTTGTGACTTTTTGTGCATTTCAAACACCCATCTCTTACGTCGTTTTCGTCCTCCATTTTGTCAAGTCCGAGTTAGTTCGCACTTTGTTTCTGTAGTGTTAGGAAAACCTCGTTGCCTTCCTCCCGATCATCCGATTTGGTCTGGGGTTGGCGTGTTGGTCCAGGGGTAGGAGTAAAATGACGTCCCCGAAGAACACAACCACAAGCGCTGGGCCGTCTGCCCCCGGGGAGGGACGACCTCTTCAGCAATCTCCTCCTCCGAGAGATGCACAATGGTTTTTGGACTTTGTTGTTCAGGGGAACCTTGTTGGGCCAACTGGGATATTCACATCGACACCTAACCGTTTACTTGATCTAAACATCCACTGCAATCCGCTACCTCATCAAAACAACAATACAACTCGAACATGCTGACTGCTCGACCAAGTGCGAACAGATTCGAATAAAAACAGGGGTGTTATTCCGAGCCTTGGAGTATGTCCACCGCAATCCATAGTTTGATGTTTGGAATGTCGCTTTGGGCTATCGGAAATGGTGGTGGATGCCCGCGTGCAAGAAAAGAAGCAAAGGCGAGCATGAAAACACCGCAGCTCGAACCGTCCGACTGTTGAGGGACACCATGAGCAACCACCTTAGGCGCCGGGAGATCCAGTTTGTTTTTTTTACCATATCGACAAACTGCTTCGTCACGGAGGTATTTTGTGAAGTTCGCAAGCGTATCGGAAGAAAAACCGCGATCGTCTTGTAGGAGGGAGTCGTAGTACTCCAACCGTTGTTCACGGACACACAATAGTGTCCAATGCACTCGATTTTTATGGACAGGAATCAAGGCCATGTCGTACGAGAAAATATTGACATCTTTTGTCAATCTCGCAACCCTTTCATGTCGATAGCCGCCACCGACGAGCTTGGTATAGAAAAAGGGACTGAAAATGTAACGAGACGGACACCCAGGCAACGTAGCGTTGCAAAGCAAAGCCAAGCACGACTCCACCACCTCGACGGAAAGCCATCCCCCCTGGACAAGAGTTTGAAGACTTTTTATGGTCAACGGTATTGAACTGGTACCTTTGCGAACCGACGAAACCACCTCGTGGTCGTTGCTGAAATCTCCGCAGACGTCCTGCAACATTCTCAAGTCCGTAGCGCTAAGCTCCTCAGTAGGCAAGGAAACGCGAAAACATGATGTAGCCCTAGCTGCACAAACACCCACGAACAAGTGTAAGGAGTGACCAAAATCACCGGGGCGAAATGGCTAAGAACTGTCTGCCCTTTTTCCAGAAAAGTTGTATTCCCGACTGTTGAATGTGTCCTTGGCGATGTACTTAGGATAAGCGTCTTTCAAGATACCCCGTTTGACATCGTCATCAGACCCATCAGACAAAGCAGTAACGCTTTCAATAGACGCAGCCACATGTTTCTGCAAAGTTTCCTCCTTATCTATTCCACTAGCCTTCAGAACCCTGACAACTCTCTGGGAAAGGCGAGGCATCTTGACCCTTTTAAACAACCCTACACTTGACGACTTCTTCGGTAAAGCGGCTAATGACCTCCCTGAAAGACATTTCTCGCGCACGGTTTTTAAAGACTTCATGGGCAGACACATCGGCAACCTCACAACTGTAAAACATAGAAAACAACCAATAACCCACAAACTTTTTTTCAACAAGTGGTAATAGGTACATGAGCCCATCACATCAATTCAGACGAACACAAAGTTGGCTAGTGACAGATATGCGAGTGCTACTATTCACAAATCTTACCGTGCTCGGGAGCCCTTTGAGAGAAATCGCCCTCTTGTCGCGCCACTACGCCGACGCCCACGGAGGATTCGACGATTTGCACCTCGGCCACGGCTGTGTCGCTAACCAGCTCGGTGGCAGCCGAGTCGCTACGCAACTCGATGGCTTCATGAAGCACCATTTTCCGACCGGTACTGAGGACAGACGCACGATCACCCTGTTCTTCACCGCAACGGGTGGACGGAGAATCATGATCTTTCCGCTCTGGACCCATCTTGATGCTGACAGCTACCTCACCACCTTCCACGGAGGATTCGACGTTCTACACCTCGGCCACGCCTGAGTCGCTAACCAGCTCGGTGGCAGCCGAGTCGTTACCCAACTCGATGGCTTCATGAAGCACCATTTCCCGACTGGTACTGAGAACAGATGCTCAATCACCCTGTTCTTCACCGCAACAGGTGGGCGAAGAATCATCATCTTTCCGTTGTGGATCTATCTGGATGCCGACCGTCACCTCACCGCCTCCCACCATGGGTTCTCCGCCTTTCTCATCGCCATGAGCCCGAGCTTCCACCACGGGTTCTTCTTCGCCTTCCTCATCGCCAAGAAGGCGAGCTTCCACGAATGTCCACTTACCTCCCTTAACGACACCCTCACGCGTCGTGGCCACAACCGAACGACTGTGTAGAACCTCTTCGGACGTCCCGAGCACCAGCATTCCTGCGTCGAGCCCCTTCACGACCTCGCGAGCCGGCCCGTGTTGAGTATCCTCTTCCTGCTGCAGAGCATGCATTTCCCCCGGAGCTGCTGTACTCTTGCTGTCACTGTCCACGGACGCACCCTCCGAAGCATGACGTTCACACTCGCTACCCCCGGTCTCCAACACTTTGCGAGATTGGCAGTGTTGAGTCTCCTCTTCCCGCTGTACAGCATGCGCTCCCGGAGAGCGCTCCTCTTCCCAGGAGCCGTTGTACTCTTGCTGTCAACGTCGACTGGTATACCCTCCGAAGCATGACGTCCGTACTCACCACCAGTCTCCAACACTCCTGCAGCGGGCCCCTCCAGCACGTCGCGAGACCTCCAGTCTCGAGTCTCAACATATGAGAACGGAGGTGAGCAGGGGAACCGTGTGCCCAACTGAAGATGCGGGGGGTAGGACGTCACATTTTCTTAGCCCCCCGGAACTGTAGCGTGAGGAGCACTTATGGCGGAAGGCCTCCAGGGCGGCGTCAGGAACTCCGAATCTATTCGGAGTTCTTTTGCGCTCGCCGGAGCTGAGGGAACTGACGGTCGCACCTTCGCTCGTTCGCAATGCAGGCATCCCGCCCTCCAGGCAAAACGAAGATGTGGTTCCTATCAAGGAATGGTTTCGCCGCTCAGGACATGCTGCCATATGTTGCAGACGTTCGCCCTCTTCCAGGAGCAAGGTGTTGTGCACATGAGACCTCTGCTGCGCACAGCGGGACGGACTCTCCTCGGCATTGGGAAACAAAGTCCTCGCAGACAAGCGCAAATCTACTCGCACTTGATTACACCTCAGGGTGGCCACGTCTCGCATGTCGGAATCTCGACTCCCTACGCAGTGGCTGTCAGTTTCCCTATACTGGGGACTCCCGGACGTTCTACGCTTTCCGTCCGACCCCTTCCCGCCCGACCCCATCCCGCCCGACCCCTTTCCAGCCGACCCCTTTCCGCCCGACCCCTTTCCGCCTGACCCCTTTCCTCTGGACGCCTTTTCTCCCGACGATGTTTCGCCCGACCCCTTTCCGGAAAATTGTGAGCCGTCTCCTCCGGCGTCTCCTTTGTCTCCTCCTCCACCCGTTCCGGGATGCTGACCGCCCGACGGAGGTTGCGGCATGCGCCAGTCAATGCCACGAGACGGTGGCGTTTCGAGTGTGTAGAAAGGCGCTCAAAACTCCAACATATTGTCATCGTACAACTCGTGGAGTTTCTGGCCTGTATACGCAGTGACGTCCGATAAGCTCCTTTCGGGGTTCATAAGACTCAAATGCTCCACCAGAGCATCTCTCACCTTTTTCTTAAATGGACCCGCTCCCAGTCTGTTCATGCCACTCCACTTGCCATCGGCTTCCTTTATTGCCATGACCCACTTTCCATTCTTTACAGCAGGTTGGAATATCCCCGGGTGCCAGACGACGTTGTGTCCCCAGACATCCTCCGGCGTGAACCGGTGATGCTTGCCGAAGAAGAAGAGTCTGTCATTCTCCCAGGTATCATGGTCCCCAGGGAGCTTCTCACAAGGTTCGTAATCATAGTCTCTCTCTTCCTCCCCGTCATCAGACGATTGGTCGTCGACTCGTCGACTCTTTCGCGCCCAAACACACGCTTCAAATCAACAAGGGACGTGCTATATCTCTGAGGACCACCTTCCCCTTCATCACCAACCTGTCCAACCACCCGAGGAAGTTGCATGGACTCGAAATTGAAGGTTTCGGAGTCGCTCAGCTCCTCCATGTCTTCAGCGTCGAAAGGGTCCTCCTCATCAAACTGCGCCTTGTAGTTTTCGAGGGTGAGCGGTTCGGCCATCAAGAAGAAAACGTGCTCCAACCTTCTCAGGAAATTCGAGACAGACTCCCTGGGAACATCGTGGTACCCATTCAGCACACCGAACACCAGGTTTCTCCGTCGATTGTATTCGAGGTCGGTCTGAGCAGGCGGTCCAGGTTGGAAAAGGAAGTCCCAAACCTTCGTCCATTTGTTCCCCGACAATTTCCAATACCTGTCACGTTTGGGATCCCAGTTCCGTTCGCCGGTGGTCTGGACATTAGAGCAATTATTGCGAGGGTCTTCCACGCATGTCTTCACGAACTCGTTAAGGTAATCGATCATCTTCTTCTCGTCCTCCAACGCGACGACGTTCCTACCGTTGCGCAGGGGCTCCCACACAATAGACGCATGCGCCTTCCCAAAGGAAAAAACAGTTTGCCCAACTCTACAAAAGTTTTCGAGTAGACCAAGTAGATGGGACAGGATCCGCTCCCTGTCCCCGTAAGCAGGTCCACGAACACTTGTCACGCCGCCGACCTCCCACTGGCTACGAGGGAACCTGTCCTCGTCCGCCACGTCGAAACACGCCACAGCCTGTCCTGATGGGTCCGACGAACAGACAGCTTTCGAGCGGGTCGCCACCGCGTGTTTGGCCGGACTTGGACCATGAGCACGGGGAGCCTTTGTCGGGCTACTGACCGGAAAGACTGCGACTGTGTTGTCTGTCAGGTTCTCGCCATTGAAAATCATGTACAGGCGATCACACTCCTCAACCAGCATATTGCCTTCCCGGACAGTGGCCTGCCTTTGTGCATGGCGCACCCACTTCCCTGTCCTGACGTGATGGACGCTAAGCCTGGCCATGCCTTTTAAGAAACTGAGCTCCGAACGAGAGGGGAAGAAGACCACAAGTGCCCAGTGCGTTGGCGATAGTGTTTGGAGAACGCCTTGCAAGGAGGCGAAATCGTCTTCTCGCTGGTCTGAGAGGAGTGTGGGATCACACAAATCGAGAACGTACAGGTTGCACACGTAATGCCGCACAATCTCGAGGATCTCAGTGAGACGACTGTGGGCTTCGGAAGGCGGGCAACTGAAAGGAATAAGGCTGGTCACCCGGTTGAGCTTGTGCCATTTGATGTGCCTCACATCCCCGCTGACCCTGATCGTGTCTCGAACTTCTTCTTCCGTCCATTGTAAGATAGAACGGACGAACTTTTCGAAAGATTTAGTGAACCTGTCATCCTCGTACATTCTCTTCGTGTCATAGAGGGAATCCTTCTCGTGCGGAAGAGTACGTTTGCAAGTGTTCAAAGTACTCCACCGCGCCCTCGAAATGCTTTCGCAGTTCGACCCACACCTGTTTCGTGACGCCCTGCGGCCCGAACTCCGCTAGCAGTTGCCCCTCGGTCCGGAAAAAAAGCCTCCCGTAGCGCCAAACCTCTGCGTCCTCCTCCGTTTCAAGGAACAAGATGTAATGAAACATGCGGACCATCATGCGGTTCACTTTCCTCGTCTCGACCATGTCTTTAATTCCAGGCTTATGTTGACGTTTCAGATGTCCGCCCGCCGATTGCACGAACACTCCCCTAAGTGCGAGAATGTCGTCGAGGATCGACAGTTTTTCGGCATCGGTCATGTCGGCGAGACACTGCCAACAGAACATGTCTGACTCTCTCACGACGACGAAAAAATTGTCGTCCGCTTGCGTTTTCTTTTTGGTCGGAGGCGGCGGGACCCGGACCAGCCACCCCATCTTCATTTCACCAGCCGCCCCTTTCGTGCCCATTTCCGGAATTGCTTGAAGACCCGAAGCTTTGTCTGGCATGTATTTGCCCGGCTTCGACAAGGGCGTCTTCCCGTCGCCACTCAACAACTTTCCCTCGTCCCATTTCTCGTAGAACTCCATGCCTTTGCGGAAAACGTCATCACCGACCGTCACGAGCGGCATCCACTGCCTCAATGCATTGCCAATGGCAGCGACGTGCTCCTTGTCGGCGAGCGTTGTCGCTTTGCATGCCATCGTCCAGTGTGCCCCGTTCGGACTTTTTCCCAAAAGCAGCTTTTGGAACTCAAAAAACGTTTGTTTTTCGGCCTCCTTGCCATAAGGGTTCCCTTGAATGGCCACCGAAATTCCTTTATTCTCCCGTGCCTCCAGCATGTCCTCGAAAGCGCTCTTCTGTGCACACTGCTTAGACATCTTGTGTCTTGTGTTCTCCGTGAGACTGACCTGCAAATACCCCCTGAAGTCTTCGTCGGAGAACCAGACGACTCTCGCCGGCCACGAGTGCATCTTCCACAATTCGATTATTGGCTCACCGTCCAACTCCTTCACAGCAGCCACGGTGTGTTGTCCGTTGACAGGGTAATAGAAGTACTTGTCCTTGTCCTCTGACTTGAAGACGTGTTTGTGAACCCTCTTAGCTTTCTCCGGCCTATGCGTCACCGGCTTGTAGATGGGTGCTAGAACCAAAGGGTTTTTTATCCAGATCTTCCCCTTTTCCTCGTGGAACTGCCTTAGCATTGCTTCGTTGATGTCCTCCACACCATCGTGACTGAGACTGCGGTAGTTGTAATATCTTTCTCACGGCGGGATGTCGCAAACCTTCCTTGGGTCGATGAGAAGTTGAACGGAGAGCTCCTTCTCCACGATCTCACCATCATCGTTCCGCTCGTATTCGAGCCAGAACGTTGTCGCTTCGTCGTACCGCCCACCGACAGCCCGTTCGCCACCGCTCGCCGCCTCAGCACTCTTCGTCCTGCGAGGTTTCTTCTGGCCATCGCCTTCTTCAGCTGCCAGTTTCCTCTTGGATTTCTCTGAAGGTTCTCTCGTGGCGGCAGCGTCTAGATGAGCCGAATCTCCTCCACCCATAGCTTGTCCTTCGCGGATGGTCAAACCGTCGGGCCTCCTCGCTTTCTTACTTGCCGATGCACCCTCTTCCTTCCACAGCCTCTTTTCGGCTCCTTGTTCTTGTCCGCCACGCATCCCTGGCGTCCTCTTTCCCGAGGCACGTTCTCCGACGTCACCTCCATCCACGCCAATCATCAGCTCCGAGTGTCCTTTCATCCTCTTCATGCGGCGGGTTTCTTCCGCCACCTCTTCTCGCACCATCCTCTGTCGCTCGCGTTTCTTTTCCGAAGAAGTCGGCTCCCCGCCAGAGATGTCGCGGACTGCGTCCATCCCTTCAGCCTCATTCCCTCCAACTACTTGCCCCGATCTGCAGGATTCTCTTCTCATCTCATCTCGAAGCGAATACGTGTCGCCCTGGTAGAAGACCTTGAGGATTTTCGGAGTACCGCCCGTAGAGTCCCTGCATCTGGAGAATGCAAGTCTGACGTGTTCCCAGGAGCATCCGGGTCGACCTGCATTTGAATGCTGCGCGCGTGCCACTTGCCCTGACACCCAGTGCCGTGAATCGCACTCCCGTGCCCCATTGACATCTCAGGGTTTTCTTGAGCCAAGCGGAACGACCCCTTGTGGGTCGTCAGAAGCCGGAAAACATATTCTCCCGAAAGAACCGGACGTCCTTTCAGCGCGAGATCGGGGTATTCCACTGGCGGCTGGAGATGCTTGCTGTAGCCATCGTAAAGCCCTGCGAAGTAACAGCACAGTGGCATGTTCGAACGACCCTTAACACCTCTCAAAGGCAGTCTGCACTCGTCGTACAAGATTTTAGTGTGCAGTTTTAACAAACCTCCAGGAATCTTGCTGTACAAGACGATGGTACCGAGAGGAATAACATCGTCCGCTCCCTCAGCGCCTGGAACGCAAGTGGAGGGAAAGAGAAAAAACCCGGGACCTTCGTGCCTCCGAAGTCGAGCAAGAGTGCTGGCTAGCGCTCGATATGGCGAGAAGGATTGAGAAAAAACAGAGGGAAGTGAAGGAAAATGAAGGAGGCAGCTCGCAGAGCAAGAAGACTGCAGATGGCGGAGATACATAGCGACGGTGAATGGAGGAAAGTGAGCGATGGCGGAGAGAGAGAGAGAGAGAGAGAGAGAGAGAGAGAGAGAGAGAGAGAGAGAGAGAGAGAAGGGGGAACCATCGTCGTGATCACCATCGAC